GGGGCACTGCCCGCCGTGCCAGCCACGCAGGGACGGGAGGATCGGCTGGGCTCCGGTTTGGCGTTTCCATGGAGATGTGCTCGGCTGGGCACCGGCCCAAGGAGCTGCCCTGCAGCTGGGAGGGGAGGGGGACCGGCCCCAGGCCCAGCCGCGCCGTCAAGGGGTCAGTCGGAGGATCCCAGCCATGCTCCCACCCCAGAATGGGGTAGAGCGCTGCATGGGGATGCCCCGGTGATGGAGACCCCGATGCCGCCCGTGCCAGCTTGCCCAGGAGCTGTGCTGCCCCTTACCTTGACCCCTTCTGAGCCGGCGTGCAAGGCATGACCCCCGCTGCCCGCGCTCTGCCCGCTGCCCGAGCTCCGTGCGCTGGCCACGCTGCCGGTGCTGCCCAGGCTGCTGCGGTCGCCACCTGCCAAGGGGAAGGGAGAGTCAGACGCGGGTGCTAAGCAAGGCATCGCCCTGCCGTACAGGGCCCGGACGGCACCGGTGCATTGTGCACGGACAGGTGTGCTGCTGCACGACTGCATCACACAGTCCTGGCTGGCCGGGGTTGTACGTTTGCTGACAGCGGGCACTGCAGCGTCACTGGGCGTGCATTCCCCCACGCACGTGCACATGGCAAATACCTGCAAAGGGTTTCCGCAGCACCCAGATCTCCTCGGCTGGCGCCGGCGTGGCTGGTGACCCGCCTTGCGAGGGCGACAGGTGGGATGGGCTCATGTCGGACCCGCGCGAACCTGGTGGAGCAAAGCAGAGGTGGTGAGCGGGACCAGGAGGAGGGGTGCAGGAGCAGGGTGGCACTGCCGGCTAGCATCAGGGCGGCACGGCGTGACCCCCCCGGGCTGGGCATCACACCGAGCCCCCGTGCCCCCCAGCACAGGCCCTGCTGGCCATGGGAGGGGAGGAGGCAGCACTGCCCCAGCAAGAAGACCCCTCCCGGGCCTGGAGCTCCCCTGCAGCTGGGGCGGGCAGGTACCACCAGCCACGGGCTTCTCCCCAGCCAGAGGCACCGCACCAGAGACTGCCGGGCACGTAGCAGCTATGACCGCTGGGCACGGCCCATGTGATGCCTACCCTTGCACCTCTGGGGACACGTGGGGGTGTTGCTGGGGCTTGCACGCCCCTGTGCAAGGAGTGCAAGGAGCTTTTGGTCCCATAGCTCAGCCCTGGTGCAGCCACCACAGCCCTGCGCTATCGCCACGTCCCGCCACGCTGGAGTCAGCGGGCACCGCTCAGCCTGGGGGCACCCTGCCGTGCCGTGCCATGCCGCATGGCTTCCCCACCCAGGCAGCCCTGCACCGGCTGCATCGCAGCTCCCGGCGGGTGCTTTCCAACAGCAGCAACGGGACCTGGCTGTGCCCAGACTATCCCCACTGGAGCAACGGCTCAGCCGGGCACGGAGCTGGGATAGCAAGGATAGTGGCAGCCCTGATCTCTGTCTCCAGACCTGGGGCCGCACTGCCCCAGCCCCAAGCCAGGTGCCCACCACGGCGCAGATTCCCTGGGTCTCATCTCCCGCCCCCAGGACGAGGCTGTCATCGCCTCCCACCCACGCCAGCAGCAAATCCAAGCACGGAGGGCCCGAGCCACGTGTAGGCAGCAACCCCACTGCATCGGGTCACCCGAAACCGCGGGCCGTGCAGCCGCCTCCACGCCATGCTGCAGGCAGGCTAGTTAGCACAGCTGCGCGCCAGCCCCCCACGCTAAGCAGGGATGGGCACAGGCAAAGGCAGGCACGTGGCGAGAGCCGCGGCTGTGCCTGGACCCTGCAGCGTCTGCCTTGTGCCCTCCCGAGCCCGTGGACCTGCCGGGCGCAGCCCGATGCCCCCGGCAGCCCAGAGCTCTGAGGACACGTGGCTCCTTCACGGCACTCCAGGGTGGGCTGTAGCCGCCTCGCTGGGGCTTGGTATAGCCAAAGGCTCCAAGTTAGGGGCTGCAAGGCCGTGGTGATGGGCTGTGGGCAAGAACACGGACAAAAGCCCGCCTGGCTGTGACCCCAAGGGCCCCGCTGCCCTGCAGCGAGCCACGGAGGATGCCACAGTGGAGCTGCCAACACCTCCCACCCCTCCATCACTAGCACAGGCTGCAGGTGGAGCAGGACCGGGCTCCTCCGTGGTGCTCGGGGATGCGCCGGGACCGGCAGGGGGAGCCCGCGCGTTGCATTTACACAGAAACCCGCAGGCTCCGGATTCCCTTGCACCAGGCCGCAGGCGCCTCGCTCCATTTCTAGCCCTGGAGAAAGAAAAAGCCCCTCTGCAGCGCTGGGGGGACAGGGATGGGCTGCACCCTTGGCTGGGCACGTCCCTGGGCTCCTGCACCCAGCAGCATCACCTGCATCCAGCCCTCCAAGGATGCCCGACAGCCGTTTCAAGAGCTGGCTCCTGGAGGAGCCCGAGCCCCAGCGTCCCGGCGGGCTGGGCCCTGCAGCGGGGCAGCAAGGACCAAACCCAGCCTGCCCTTTGGGCCCTCTTGGGGCTGGGGTAGCGGTGCCCATCGGGGCTGGAGGTCTGCCTGACGCCCCGCGCAGCCCCGCCAGCACAGCCGGGAGGTGTCACTGCAGAGGCCATCGCTCTTCGTTAACAGCTCTCGTTAGGCCGCAGGGTGATAAATCTGCCACGGAGCCGAGAGCAGGAGACGGACGACCGCGCCGCTAATGAGCCAGGATGCGGCTGACCCTCCCTGCGCCAGGAGGCAACGCAGGGCCCAGGATGCGCGCACCCTCCGCTGTATGCGCCGTCCCCGCCTGGCCTGAGACCCGTCACACTCGTTACGCTGCAAGTGCCGAGCAGACAATGCAGCCGAGGCATGGGGGAGGATGAGAGATGGGGCACCTGGGCCACAGTGGGGGCAGGAGACACGTGTGGGCCCGGGTCCCCCGGGGGCAGAGCCCTGGCTCCCAGCCCCGGCTTCACCCCAGTCACCAGGATCCGCTCAGGGCCAAGCCCCGGCGAGACGCAGCCCCACAGCCGGACAGGGTGCGCAGCCAGAGCCGCGCCAGCACGGGGGAAGCTGCACAGGCTGGGAGCCACCGCCTCGGGCAGCACCGCAGCCCTGCGCCGGGGTCCCAGTCGCCCCGGGCCCCTTCCCTGCTCCTGGGGAGGGATTCCCCCTGCCCCGCTCTGAGCCCCCCGCGTGCACCTGACCCCCTTGGCACCAGGTACCGGGGCGGCAAGTCCAAGTGCCAGGAGGAGCCGTGGGGGGTGGCACCCTGCTCTCAGCGTCCCCGGCGTCCTTCCCTTGCCAGCACGGCACTCGACGGGGCTCCTGGCCCCGGGCTGCTGTCCCGGCCCTGCCTGGAGCCTTCCCGCTGCACAGTCGGCTGTGTGTGTGTGTGTGTGTGTGTGTGTGTGCACGTGGGGGGGGGGTGTGCATGGGGGAGAGGGGGGGCAGGCAGCAACCCCCAGGCCCACCCTCACGCTGGGGCAGGTCCATGTGCCGCACTCATGCTAGGGCAGTTCTAGGGAGGGAAGCAGGGAGGGAGGCTGTACACACCTGCTTGCACACACATGTGCTTGGATGAATGCATGCTCACACACACTTGCACAGACATGCCTGGTTACACATGTGCACACACATGCTCATGTACATACATACATACGCACGTGCCCACACACACCTGCTTGCACACACCCCTATGTGCAAACACTTGCACACATGTGCAGTCACACATATGCACACGCATACCCCTACTCATATGTAAACATCCCCACAAGCACGCTTGCATGCATGCGCACAGTCACACACACATGCTTGCACACATGCACCCTTGCTCACATGCACACGTCTGCACACACGTATATACCTGCTTGCATGTGTGTACACATATGTGCCTGCTCACATGCACTCATGCTCGCACACACACATATGCCAGTTCACACGTACACATACACACCTCCACACACACATGCTTGCACACACACATATGCCAGTTCACACATACACACACACACGCTTGCACACACACATATATACCTGCTCGCATGTATACACACATATATGCCTGCTCACATGCAAACACATACAAATGCTTGCACGCACGCACACCCCTGCTCACACATACACACACCTGCTGACATGCACACACACACACCTGCACACAGACGCTTGCACGCACACACCCCTGCTCATATGCACACGCACGCCTGCTTGCACGCGCACACACACCTGCTCACACACACGCACGTTTGCACATGCACGTACCCCTGCTCCCATGCACATACACATGCGCCTACACACATACACATGCCTGCTCACATGCACACACGCACACACGCCCACACACACCTGCACACTGAAGCAAAGGGAAGGAAGAAGCCAAACGGAAAAAAACCCAAGCCGGCCAGGCCCACCAAAACCCAACGTAAAGGAAAGCAATGAAGCGAGCCGCAAACTACCTTGTCCACAGTGCCGCTCCCCCGCAGGGCTATGGGGCAGCCTGTGATAGCCAAAGGAACTGAAAAGAGGCTGATGGGAATGTGATGGAGGAGGTGGAGGTGGAGGCAGGAGATGGAGCGGATGGGCCGAGGCGTCGCCATTAAGCACAGCTGCCCCGGGGCCCGGGAGCGGGATCGTTTGATAGTGCTGGCTAATGGTTACCGTTTCCCATGAACCTGATAACAGAAACATAACAAGAGACAAAATGAAAGGGCTCCGGGGCCGCGCTCAGAGCCAGCCGCGCACAACACGGGCAACCAAAAGCAAAGCCGAGCCAAGCCCAGCGGGGGCCCGAACGCAGCCTCAGGGCAGCCCTGGGGGGGCCCTGGCCTGGGATCGCCTCTCTCCCCGCTCCGCGTGCAGCACACAGGCTCCGGGCCAGACCGGGAGCAATGAGAGCAGGCCACGGACGCTGCCCCGGGGGAGACACCCCAGCCACGGCCAACCCTGGGGGAGCGGGAGGGCCGGCTGATGTTCATTACCAGCACCCGCTGGCACCGAACAAAGGCCCCTAACACGGACCGGCTCCGCGGGCCATGCTCTGGAGCCCCGCGCCCTGCAGCTCCCGGGCACGGGGCAGAGACCGTGGCCCAGACCCTGCGGCTCCCTGCACCTGGAACAGCGACTTCACCAGGGATCCCCGCCGGCCCAATGTGCCCCAATCCCGCCGGGATGAGAGCCCAGGTGCCCCCAACACGGAGCCAGGCTGGAGCAGCTTCCTCCGGTACCAGAGACGCCTGCCACGCGACCGACCGAGCCTGTCCCGGCCAGGGAGCAACCCCCCACGCTCCCCAGGCCGGCTCGTCCCTCTGCAGAAGGGCCCCGTGCCCAGGGGACGCGGCTCTCGGCCCCAATCCTCTCCCGCGCCTCTCCACGTGCCAAGCGAGGGCAGGCCACCTGCGTCCCTGGGTCGCTTCAGGCCCAATTTAGCAGCTGCCGTTTCCGGCAACGGCCTCCGAGGAAGCCAGACAGACCGGCGCTCGGCCTGCCCGACCGCGCCGCGGGGCCGGCCAGGGCAGCGTTCCCATCCACCGATGGATCGATAGCCACCTTGGAAAGCTCTCGTTGCACCAGCCCTCCCGCCACGCTCAGACTGACACAGCCGATGCTCCGGGAAGGAGCCGCCGTGCGCCCTGGGGATGTGCGGGGCCGGAGAGCGGAGGGGGCGCCCGGGCTCCAGCCTGCGCAGCGCTCCCTGTGCACCCCGAGCTCCGGCGCCCATCGCAGACGCGGGCGCTAGATGCCTGGCCTGGCTGAGCTGGGCATGGCCAGAGGCGTCCGTCCCCGCTGCGACCGTGTCTCCCGTGCACCACGCAGAACTCGCGCCCCCAAGATGTTGGCTCGCAGAGCCAGGACCAGGGCAGCCCCATGACGGCGACGTGCCACGCACCAGAGTCCCTGTGCCCCAGCCACCGGGACAGCCACGGCTCCCCGGGGAATCATGGAGGATAGGGCATGTGGGCAGGGTCTGGTGTGGGGAGAGGGAGGAAGGTGGGGATGAGGGGGTGGGCACAGGAGAGGGTCGCCGGGTGCTGCATGGAGACCCCAGCCCCCAGACACGGAGGATGCTCGTGCGTGCACGGGGACAGACCGACACCACGGCCCAGACGGGCTGCTTGCAGGAGCTGCCTTCAGGGTGCAAGGATGCCTCGGAGGCGGTGGGATGGGGACAGAGCAGGACCAGCCAGCAGAGACCGGTGGCTCGCCAACGTGACCCCGTCCACATGGACACAGACGTGGGCTCAGCCGGCCACGGCCACCGCACTCACGGGGGCTTTCCCGCCTCTCGCTGCCCCCTCTGCACAACCACGGGCACCGAGCCCCTCCAGCCCGCGCGCGGCACCAATCCCTCTGCTCAGCACCGTCCACCCACGCAGCCCACGGCCCAGACTGGCAGCAGTGCCCACAGACGGCGCAGGGAGGGGGATGCGCCTCGCGCCCCATCTCAGCCCCCTGGGGCAACCCCCAGCAAGGGGCAGCCAGCTCCAGCTTGGCCCGCAAGACCCTGGCGCATGGCCCACCACACCGCTGTCCACGGGTCTCTCTCCCCTCTCCAAAAGCAGCTCCCAGGCTCGTGGCCCCGTCCGGAGGCACAGCCGTGGCCCTCCTCCCCACCAAGCCCCGCACTGCGCCGGGCAGCAGACGGGCATTTGCCTGTTCGCTTGCTGATGGCTTCGACGAGGCTGGACGGGAAGTAGCCCACGCGGTCGTTGCCGGTCCGGTTGTCGTGGATGCAGCCCTTCCACCGCCCGTCCGCGTGCTGCTCCAGCACCTGCAGGCCACAAAGGCACGGGGGCGTGGGGCAGCGCCGGGGCTGAGCCCAGGAGCCTCTAGCCTGGGACTCCCAGCCCAGCGGCAGAGCGTCCCCCAGGCCCCGGTACCAGGGACCGGGGGGGTGGGCACCTGGCCTGCACCGCTCCCCCTCCGGCTGCCTCCCGCGCCCCCACACCCCCACACTCACGGTGATGACGTCGCCGGCCTTCACGTTCAGGCTGGTCAGGTCGTAGTTGTTGCAGTAATCCTTGACGGCCCGGACCTGCAGCGCGGCCGAGGCGTCTGCGGGACAGAGTTGGAGTCGCAGGGACGTGGGGCTGGGAGGGGGCTCTGGGGGCATCTGGTCCAAGCCCTGCCTCAGGCAGGATCAGCCCCGTCCGTACATCCAGCATCTAAACTCTACCGAAGACGACCGTCAACCCTGACACAACAGACCTCACACCCCAGCCTGCTGCGGGGACCGCGGCAGCAATGTCCTATCTATGCCAGGTTGTTTTAATACACACTCCAGAGCCCCGAGGCCAAGACCGTGCCCCCGCTGCAGAGGAAGGCAACCCCCCTAGTCTGGACCAGTTAACCAGGAGGGAAATCCCTTCCTGCCCACAGTGCAGCATCGGTCTGAGCCTGAGCGCAGGGACAAGACCCTCCAGCCAGGACCCTCCAGGTTTGGGTCCCAGGAGGAGCGCTGGCACAGCCCTATGCCCAGCCTGGCACCCGGTGCCTCTGGGGGAGGCTTATAAACCCCCTGACACATGGAGCAGAAATGGGGGGGCAAGCAGCAGAGCCCAGAAACCCCCATAGCTACACCTGGATCAGGTATAGCTACACCTGGATCATCCCCGACCAGCGGCTGCCCACCCTCCCCTTGAGCCCCTGCAGTGATGGAGAGTCCCCGCTGCCCCGACGTCCATCCCACAGCCTCCCTGCTCTGACAGCAAAGTGTTCCCTGATCTCCAACCTAAACTTGCTTTGCTCCAACTTCAAGTCATCGGCCTGCGTCCTCTTCGCAACCTGGAGAGAGCATCGGAGACCAGGAGCCCCCCTGCCCTGTCTCACATGCTCCTTGTAGGGGCCAAGCTGGCTCCCGGGGGCAGCCCCTGCCTGACCTCAAGCAACGGCGCACGTTCCCCTCCCCTTTGGTCCTGCACCTCCATGGGAAGGGGCTGGGGGGCTTCGCACCTCGCAGCATCTGCTTGATCTCCTTGCTGGCCTGGGTGGCAGTGAACTGGTTGACGATGTCCAGCGCCGTCTGGTTGTACGTGTTCCTGACGTGGGCATTGATCCCGCTCTGCAGGGCACAGGCAGGGGCATGGGGCCCAGAGCTGGCATACACAGCAGGATGCAGCCCCAAGCACCTGCCCAGCATTCAAGGGGGCTGGTACACGCTCAGGGGATGCACAGAGAGGGGGCATGGGCTGGCACACACTCGGAGGACGCACAGAGATGGAGATGGCACACGCTTGAGGGATGCACAGAGATGGGGATGGCACACGCTCGGGGGATGCACAGAGAGCGGGCATGGGCTGGCACACGCGGAGGATGCACAGAGATGGAGATGGCACTAGCTCGAGGGATGCACAGAGAAGGAGATGGCACACGTTCGGGGGATGCACAGAGATGGGGATGGCACATGCTCAGGGAATGCACAGAAATGGGGCACGGGGCTAAGCACACGCTCAGAGCATGCACACAGATGGGGCACAGGCTGGCACATGCTCGGGGGATGCCACACGCTCGGGGCATGCACAGTGACACCAGAGTGTGCACTACCAGCCCCTGCCCCTGCAGCCAGGTCTGCCCATGCCCCCTGACCCCAGCAGAGCTGCGAGGGCCCTTACATCCAGCAGGAGCCGCACCACGTCGGTCTTGCCGCACAGAGCCGCCTCGTGCAGGGCCGTGCCCGCCTTGGTCTGCCGGTTGATGTCGATGCCCGCCTGCAGCAGCAGCCTGCGGGCGCAGCAGGGGCCGGCTGAGCAAGACGGCCCCTCACTCCTCACCTGCAGCCCAGCTTAGAGCCCCCTGCTCCGCCAGTGCCCACAGCCCGGCAGAGCAGTCCCAGCAGGAGGATGCTCCCTCCCACCGTGACTATTTGTTCGGGTCCAGCCCCCGTGATGCTCACCTGATGATGTCAATGTGCCCATTCTTGGCTGCCAGGTGCAGGGGGCTGGTGCCATTGGGGTCGGTGGCATCCCCTGGCTTGGGCTCCAGCAGCGCCGCACACATGTTGCTGTTCAGCAGCAGCTGCACCACCTGGGGCAGCAACATGGAGCAAGTGGAGACGTGGGGACCGGCGCTGGAGCCCGCATTGTGCAGGGGACTGGTCGGAGGGGCTTTGCCCCCAAGCATGGTGCAACATCGGGCACCCCCAGAGTCTCCTCCCGGCCACCCAGTGCCTGGGAGTACCCGGCCTTGCCTCGTGGGGCCTGGGAGGACTTACCCCGACACGGCCAAACTCGCAAGCCAAGTCCAGCGGCGTCTTGCCAGAGTTGTCCACGATGCAGGGGTTGGACTGGTGCTGCAGCAGCATCTCAGACTGGGAGAGACCAGACTGGCTCAGCACGATGCTCCCGGAGGGGTGGAGGGTGAACTCCTGAGCAACTGGCCCTGCTGTCCCCACCCAAACCCTCCTGTGCCTTGCACACACTATGCCCCGTGGCAAACGGGCACCCGGGAAGGGCCAAGCACGCCCGTGGAGCTGCCATGGTGAGATGAGGAGAGGTCCAGAGCCCCCATGCACGGGGTAGGAGGGTCCGGACCCAGGTACCCTTGAGGCTCAAGCAGCCACATGCCCCCCACCCCATCATGCAGACAGCAGCTCAGTGCCACGAAGCAGCGATCAGGGCCCCTGCACCCCCCATACCACGTCGTAGTGCCCATGCTGGGCTGCCAGATGCAGGGGGATCTGGCCCTCGTCCGACTGGGCATTCACGGCTGACCCTGCCTTCAGCACCATCTTCATCGGCTCCTTCTTGCCCTGCCAGGCGGCGTAGTGCAGGGGCCGCATCCCTGCGGGGCAGAGGCAGCGCCCGGCTGAGTGGGGGGCACCGCGTCCGGCCAGCTCCTGGCCGGTGCAATGTCCAGGTGCCAGGGGATGTGGGTCTGGGCTGGACCACCCCACCCAGAGCGGATGAGGCGTTCAGCTCCACTGTCCGCGGTGCCCTGGAAGACACTCACAGCCCAGGCAGGGTCTGGCTCCCCAGCTCAAGCTGCAGGCCCCCGAACCTCTGGGCTGCACGCTAGCCCCCGCCTCGCTCTCACCTTTGTTGTCCTTAATGTCCACGGCGGCCTGAGCTTCCAGCAGCAGCGAGATGAGCTCCGTGTTGCCATTGAGGGCTGCATGGTGCAGGGCGGAGAACCTGGGGGTGCAAAGCACACGGTGAAGCAGGGGCTCCCCTGGCCAGGCCGGTGGGCATCTCCCTGGCACAGCACAGGGCGCTGGAGCAATGCCCCGTGGCGAGCCCCCATCCCTGCCTGGCGGGCCCCTCTTGCAGCTTTTGCCCTTGCAGCTCTTTGCTTGCTGGGCCCGCGCCCGTCCCCGAAGCAGCCTGGGGGACCCCAGTCCCCTTCCCCGGCAGCCTTGCAGAGATGCACTACACCGAGCTGATGCACCGGACCGCGCCACGCGCCGCAGGGATCGAGACCGGGAGAAACAGAGCGGAGCAAGGAGGGCGGACGTGGCATTCGCTCTGCCATGCATGGCTGTATTCAACCTGCCCTGAGGGATCTCTGCCGGGGAGAGGCTTCCCCAGCCAAGCCCCACAGCTCTGGGCAATCCTGGGAGCCTTCTCCAAGGAGAACTTGGGAGTCAAGTGTCGTGGGAAACCCAGCTGCGTGATCCCAGCTAAGCCCCTGGAGACGCTCACCCGAGTGGGATGCTCCAAGCCTCCCGGCCCCAAAGGAGATGCAGCCCGGCAGAGCCCGGCCCCGCCACGGGCAGGGGGATGCCCGCGGGGCGAGGCCGGGAGCCGGGCTGCGGTCCAGCCTGGATCGGGGCCACACGTGCCGCAGGGCTCCGAGCGAGGGACGATCGGCAGGCGACAGAGGGAGGGAGGGAGGCCGCCGGTGAACTGCAGACCCCCCTCCCCCTCGTGACCCAGTTCTCCAGCTGCTCTGGCCGAGGCTGGGGCCGGCCACGTGCCTCCGGAGCTGGTGGTGACGGCAGACCCTATGCCGGCAGCCTCCGTGCCCAGAGCACTGGCGCGTGGCCGCGTGAGAGCAGATCCACCTCGGTGCCCGCTGGCCACAGCCCCGTCACCATCCGTGGCTGTCTCCTGGAAGCATCCTAATCCCAGGCGGGCTGTGCTGCCTGCGGGCATCGACTGCCCTCCTGCCAGAGCCGACGGGGAAGAGCCGGGGTAGCCCCCCAGGGGAAACGCAGGCCCGTGTTGGTGGGAGAAGGGCTCGCTGCTCAGCGGTCCACACCACGGGGCAGAGACCCCGGTGGACCCGGGAGAAGCGGGGCAGGTGAGCCACGAGCCCCCAGCCGGCACGCTGTAGTGCAGCTCATCTTTAATCGCAGCGCCCGGGAGGCCTGCGGCAGACACGGCTAATCCGCGGCTCTGCGGCTGGCACGTGGTGGGGGAAGCGCCGGCCCGCTGCGGCTCCTGCTCCCAGCGAGGTCTGGTGTCTGCCATTGCAACGGTCCTGTCCGTGCATCCATCCGGGAGGCGCCCGGGATCTCGCTCCTCATCAGCCAGCGAGAAAAACCCGTGGGGCAAGAGCCTGCCCCGAGACCCACTCAGGTGCCAGCAAGATGGGGCATTAGATGCTGCCCCTCGCCCCAGGCTGACAGCGCTGCCCCCAACCATGGCTCCGGGACAGGCACTCACCCATCGGTGTCCTGGAAGTTGACGTTGACTTTCTTCGCGGATCCGAGGAGCTCTAGGAGGGAGAGAGAAGGGGGAATGAGGGCGCTTGCCTGGTGCCCCACGCCCAGGGTAGCGGCAGGATGGCACGGCCCGAGGAGGGGTAGTCCGACACGCTGCCTTCCTAGGGTGGCACCTGCAGCCCACGGACACGCCGTCCCCGGGGCCGTGAGCCAGTCAGTGCAAGACCTCAGCTCGCCAGAGTGCCCCCTGCGTCCAGGCTCTGGCTCGCACGCCCCACGTGCTAACTGCACGCACGCTCACACCCATGCACATGTATGCACACTTCATGGACTGCATACACACAAGCTCACATGCACACTCCATGAACTGTACACACACACACCCATGCACATGCTTGCACACTCTATGGACTGAACACATACACACATGTGCACCCCACCATGATCTGCACGCACACACCCACGCACATGCCTGCTCACTCCATGGACTGCACATGTACACGCTGCATGGACTGCATGTGCACACACACGTACAGCCCGTGAACTGCGCGCACACACTCCCATGGACTGCACACATATGCATACATGAGCACACATGCGCAGCATGTGCACACAGATGCACACCCCATGAACTGCACACACTTATGCCCATGGGTACACGCTCCATGGACTTGCACACACACACACCCATGCACATCCCATGGACTGCGTACACACACACCCATGCACATGCCTACGCAGTCCATGGACTGCACCCACACATCCATGCACACATACACGCACCCACGGCTTCTCCTAGCAAACCCCAGCAGCATCTCCTCCAGGCCCCCTCACACCTCCGCAGGCCCAGCAGCCTCCTCCAGCAGCTCCCCCAGCCCCGACCCTCTGCTCCAGCTGCTGCGAGGCCTGAGCCCCGATGCCCTCTAAAACCTCAACAAAGAAAGCACAACTTTGACAGCCAAGGGCGTCCCCAGCGCCAGAGCCCGGCAGCATCTCTGGCAGTGCCCCCTTTCCTGGCAGCGCAGGCAGCCAGGAGCCCACGCTGCCTCCGACTGACTCAGGGCAATGCAACGAGCAGGGCTGGAGCAGCCAAACCTGGAGAGCCCGTCTGCAGCCAAGCCTGGCCCCAGGCCACCTCCCTCCCCACGGCCCCTGCGCTGCTGTGCCCTGGGGCATCTCCATTTCCACAGCCCACACAGCAGCCCCCAGGGGCAGGAGGCAATGCCAGGCCAGGGATGCTGGGAACCATCCTGCTGTCTACAAGTCCAACAGAGACACGCAACGCATCCTCTCTCCAGGTCCTGGCCACTGCAGGGCATCCACGGGAGTCCGGAGAGGTGCTGCACGTGGGGCTGGTATCTACAGACCGAGGGCAAGGCGAGGGTCTCACTGCTGCAGGGAGAGGCAGCTGCCTCTCGCCCACTGCAGCTTGCACCCGGGGAAGAGCCCCCTCGCCCCCCCCCGGAGCACTTGGGGAGGCCCCAACAGGCCCAGCCAGGCCCCTTCCCTGCAGCACGTGCCCTGCGCTCCTCAGCCCCGCGACAGTGCCCTCCTCTGTGCCAGGGAAGCTGGGGCGAAGCTCCCACCCTTGCCTGGGAAGCTGCCTCCAGCGAGGAGCCCCGGAACCTCTGGTTGCACCCGGCCACCTTCAGAGCCTCACGGCTCCTTGCCCACCTTTCAATCGCACCGGAAACCAGGCAGGGTCCCAAGAAGCCTGGCACTAAACCGAGCCGGAGAGCTGGCAGGGGCTGCTGGCAGCCTCCCAAAGGCTAGCGGCTGCCTGGCACGGAGGCCAGACCCGCAGCGGGGGAGCCCCAGGGCTCACCTGTGTGCCAGCACCGGGGCGTTTGCTGCCAAGGAAGAGCTCGAGCTCGACGCACCGTCAGAGACCTGCCTTCCTTCCTCTCTCCGCTCTGCTCGGACAAGTCCAGCCTTCGAGGGTGGTGCGTGGAGGCTCTCACACCTGCCCAGCGCCTGGGGTAGCCACGCCATCCTGGCTGCTGTGCTGCCACGGGGCTGGCTTGCCCTCAGCGCCCAGCCTTCTCTGCACTCGGGTCTAGCTAGGTGCGATGCTGGCGAGCAGCTCTCCAACGGGAGCGCAGCCCCAATGCAGCGGCACGTGCTGTGAACAGCCCAGGCCAACAGGCTCCCAGGGCGGATCCGGGGGTGCAGCTGCACCCAAACCAAGGCCTGGCAGCGACAGCAGCAGCGAGGGAGTCGCTTCACTTCCTGGCTCATTCTCGTCAACCTGATTCCTTCTAAACTCTTCACTCCGCAGGTGTTAATGCCTCTCTCCCCTTTTTAAAATGGTTTTAATGAATCCAGCTCTCCTTTCTGCTGTCTGTTCGCTGCTCCTGGCACTGCAGCTCCTACATCGCAGCCCTGCAGACTGCTCTTGACTCCAGCTAAAAACATGAATTCAATGTGGAAATCATCAAAGCATAGAGCCGTGGGGCTGGAAGGGGCCTCCAGAAGCCCCGTCGAGTCCAACCCCTGCCTGAGGCAGGACCAGCCCTGTGCAAACCAGCCCGGACAAACCCAGGGTCCGACCTCCTGGCAAAGCTACTGTCAACCCTGACACAAGACATCCCACGCGAACCTGCCACGGGCGAAGCAGGGGGACCACGGAGGCCAAAATCCTGCTTCTGTAAAAGGTAGTTAATAGGGATCCCGGGTAGATCGTGCCCCTGCTGCTGAGGAAGGCAATATCCTGACCTGCGGGAAAATCCCCTCCTGCCCCAACTACATCGGTTTGACCCTGGGCGGAGGGGCAAGACCCTCTTGCTCTCAGCGAAGCACTGGAAGATGCTCGGGAAGGTTGGGCTGTTTTATGACTCCGAGAGCACGTAATTCAAAGGACGGTGGGGCTAAAAAAACAACCGCTTTTGATGCTTCTGACACCTAATTTCTTGTGTTTTTAATACAGAATACAGGCTACAGCAAATGAATGCACGTTCCCATCGTCATACTTGTTTTTTGCTTTGATCTGACACTGAATAGGCCCCTAGCTTATACGGAAAGCTTCCAGTTTCTTGCAGTCTGGAGAAGCAGGGGGTTGTGTTCAAGGGGACGATACACTGCACCCCGCTTCTCGAAATCCCAGATCCACCCCTGCCTGGCGTCCTCCCCTATGCCCTGCAACCTGAAAGGTGGCAAATAGGCCCCGCAGAGCCGCGTGCCCAGGGGGGGGCGGCGCTGTATCGGGTCTGCACCCTCCCTGCCTTCACAAAGGGGCTCCAGTTGCGCGCCAGCCCCGTCGCATCTCATTCACCGGCCGATGAATGCACAAGCAACGAGCTCGCCCCTCCCTGCTGCACCCTCCTGCTTTCCCCAGGGCTCTGCCAAGGCCGGGTGCCATCCCCATTCCAGAGGCAGGGAAACTGAGGCACGGCGGGCTGCCAGAGCCAGAACCAGCCGCGCTGCCCCAATCCACAGAGCAAGGCTTCGCTCTGCCACGAGCCGGCAGCCGCCCTGTGCAGCATCCGATCCCCAGGAGCAGGAAGACAGCCAGGCGGGAGGCGGGGCGCGTTCCCCTGCAGTGCTGGCTCCTGCCCGGCTGTGCAGAGGCCGGCCGTTCCCCGGGGACCCGGGGCTTGGCAGCGAAGTCCGTGCCTGGAGCGGCTGCCGTAGGAGCATGCTAAGCAGAAACCGGCCGTGCTCGGCGCCTCCATCCCGGTACCAACAGGATCGCGGGTTCCCGGAGATCTGCGCCCCACGGGGGGAAGCCGGGCCAGTGCAAACGGCACCGCAGGGTTTGGACGAGAGCTGCCGGCGTCACCCCTTCGAGAAGGGCAGGGAGGAAGGGGGCACCTGCGCTGCTGCCTTTGCAGGGCCAAGCCTCGTGTGGGGCTCGCCCCAAACCGCTGTGGGCTCCTAAGCAATGAGGCACCCCCAGCCCCGTGTGACCCCCAGCAAGGCCCTGATCCCCCCAGCTGCTGTCCACGGCCCTGCAATGCCTCACCGCTCAGGCTGTCGCTCGCGGCGTCTCCCCAAAGCCCCTGCGGGGGTCCAGGGCCCGATCCCACCGCAACGGCTGGGAATGGCATCAGAGCGTCGCCCCGTGCAGAGAGGGACTTTGCCTTCCCCGCGCCTCCCAGGGGTGACGTAGCCCGCGGCTCTGCCCCGGCACGGCCAGACTCACTTCTGCGCAGGGCGGGCGGTGGCGGGGGCCCGGGCGGCGCGTGGGCAGCGGTGGATGGGGGCAGGAGCATCGCCACCGTGCTGGCCACCAGCCTCTTTGCCGAGCCGGAGCGCTACGGCACACAGCTGGGCAGTCGCCATGGCAACCCCATCAGCTGAGCTGGGGAAGATGCGGTGCTGGATCCCGGGCAGGGGATGCACCGGGGCTAGGGAGCAGCTCCACCCCAGCCACGCCACGGTGGTGCCAGCCAGGGGTGCTGGGCAGTGGGGAGGGCACAAGCAGTACACGCCGGGCTGATAACCCCCGCCATCGCCTCCTCCAGGCCAGGGGCTGAGCGCCCCTGGGAGAAGCCCCTTCCTGCAGGAGAGCCCGGCACAAGCCTGACCGTCCTAGCAAGGACTCAGGTCAGCACCTGCCACCTCTCCCTTAGGGCTGGGGACCGCTCGGCAAGGCGGCACCATGCGCTAAACCCGAGCCGGCACCGGGGGAAATGCAGCCACCTCTGGGGTGGACCACGGCGCTGCCGAGGGCCGGCTGGAGCGCAGAGGCCTCCTGCCACGAGGGAGGCCGCGTGCTGCCAGGACGCTGCTTCCCCCAGCGGGTTGCGAAGGCGAAAGCGCTTCTCAGGAAGGACTCGCCAGGAAACTCCTGCCCTCCCCGAGCGAAGCGGAGCGGAGCTGCTTGGCTCGGCATCTGCCAGCATGGAGGGGGGGCAGGCGGGCAGGTGGCCAACGAGCTGTCAGTGCCGCTGCCCCATGGAAAAACACTATTTTTCAAGAAAAAGGAGATTTTCCCACGCTCCAGTGCACGGGGGCTGGCCGTCGCTCCAGAGCTGCCTCTGCTCGGTGCTCAAGTGGCTGGAGAGGGCTCCCCGCTGAGTGACCCCTCGGTGGGGCTCGCTGCCTCTGGGCC